CTCACTGTTGGGTTTGTAAGGCCATGTTACTCCTAAATTTCTATCTTGTTCAAAGAGAAGATATAAAACAAAGTTCTAAGCTATTCGACCTTAGTGTTCTCCTTTTTTAAAAAAGAATTGATAAGAGAATCGATAAAGAATCGAATCGTTAAACAGAATCGAAAATGGAATCATAATCATGAAAATCTTATCAATACCCATCCCTACTCATAATGGACAGTCTCAGCTGAATCTGAGATATTCTTTCTTGCCCAAAGTTGGTATGTTCAGTACACCTTAACACCTGCAGACACTTTCTTTTAGTCCCACTCTTGGCCATTATGTCACGTTACTTCTTGTACTACAGAGGTCAATACATGCATGCCTGATTTTCTATTATATTGTTCACTTAGACTGAAAAAATATATTTTTTAGGGACAAAAACTAGAGCAATATTTCACTGATCTTATATCTGTTGTAAGGTTTTTAGGTAAAAAAAAATATCAGAAAAGTGCTTTTGTATGTAATTTACATTACAGTCACATATTACATTGCAGAAGCACGTGACTGTTTTATAGTAATAGGTGTAACTAATCAAACTCAGACATATGATGGACTCACTTGGCATGCAGGTAATTTGAGGCTCTTCCCACTGGCCACCTGGCAGGCATTTAATGACAGGATTCATTTTCTGGACAAAATCCTCTTCACAGTAGTATCGCACTTTGGTGTTTGTCTCGTAACGCGACCGCTTTTTCCCAAACACCTTGGCATGGGGAACATGGGGGGGCTCACCACAGGAGGCTGTTGGAAACCACTTTGAGTCTTAGATCTTTACTCCTTTTTTTCTTTTTTTTTGTTAAGAAAATGAGTTTAAAAAAGAAGGAATTAGGGGAGATTAAAATGAGGTGAACTCACTGACGCCCTTCTTGCAGGTGTATGACAAGTGGTAGTTGCATGGCACGTCACTCCAGCGGCCTCCATCATGCCACACCATCACCGCACAGTCCTCACCAGACAGGAAGTAGCTGTCAGGCTGCCCTTTGTACCAGTTTTCATAGAGCTGACAAAGAGAAGTGAGCAGATTTAAAATTACATAGTAATCTGGTTGATTGTGCTCTCATTCTCACAGTCATAAATTAGGTGACTAAACAAACCAAATGTAAGAAAATCATGTTAAACAGCTGATAAATCCTCTGAATCTCAAACATGTCAGGTCAAAACTAATAAAACTCACCAGTGGGTTTCCATCTGACCAGCGGAAATCTCCCTCAATGGTCCTGTCATTTAGTCCAATCCACTGATATTCTCTGTATTTTTCTAAAATTAGCATAAGAATATATGTATTATATATATTGTTTATTAAGTCATTGCACTTTTTTAAGGACAATTTGTAGACAGTTTTCTGTTTGTTGCCAATTTTTTTTCAAATTAGTAAACCCTATTTTGCCACTCTAAGATGCTCGTCTTATATCCAATCAACTTTTGCCAATTACCCAATTAAATTATGTTTGTCCAGCTGTTTCTGTGTTGTACTGTGAATAATGCACTTTATGACATTTGCAAATCATTCTGTTTTTATTTACATTTTACACAGCATCACAACTTTTTGTTGTGATAAAAAAATGCTTCATGTTCCCAATGTAACATTTACCCACAGCATGTAAACAATATACTAATATATTATTCACACTTAAACTGTTTGTCAGCAACAATAATTTGAATTAAAGTATGTTTTGTGAGAAAATTATGAAAGAAAAAAATCTTTTGTGTTACACATTCCTGCTTTAAAGTTCTCTGCTGTTTTGGGAAGCCGGCTGCTTTTCACATCCTTACATAAGAGTATCAGTTAATAGGATCAGTGCCCACTGCCTGCCGAGCACAAGGAGCCGCCACCACAGCGATGTCAGATAACGATGTCATAGCCCCTTAGCAAGACAAAATACCAACAGCAGCTGTGAGTCACTGCCATTTTCTTGGAAAGAAAAACAAATTCCAAGTGATGAAAGACACAAGAGGTTATTGTTGTGTCTTGTCTAGAAAAAATCTCAGCGTCTTGTTCCTAAAACAAACTCATGACTTTTCATTTTTTAACAGTTTGACTCATGTTAAAGCATGAAAAATGACTGGCTTGACACCTGCCTCTGCATGGCAAGGCACAAAACCCAACTGCACAAAACCCAAAGAGCACTCAGCTATTAGAAACAACAAAATTCATACTGTCCTTTGAATGGGAATGTGACTGTTTTTTACAATGAATTTTAGATTTTACGCGTGGAGAACAAAATATATCATGCATTATTGACCGCTGTGCCAGCATCTACCAACGTTTCTCCACTGGGATTAGGTTACGGACATTTGAAACAAATGAACAAAAATATTTGTACTTATTACAGTAACTAAACTTAACAAATACCATTAAGTTTTTCATGGGAGCAACCCTTATTCTCAACTCTGCTGCTCAACCCACAAATGCGGGGAAATAAACAGGTTTTCCGACTGTATAGGACTTACTGCCAAAAAGCATTATTACAACAAAGAAATAAATGACCAAATACATACTTTCTTACTTTTTGTGACAAGTTTATTTTTTAATGTTGTGTAATTCAGTGTATGCTTCTTAGACATGAATTGCATTTTTCAAGTAAGTATTTCAAAGCTTTGCAAGATTACCCAGTGCAAACATTAAAAATATACGGACAATCTAAAAGTTTGTCATCGTTATTTGTGTGATATACTTGACGTTTCTTCAGCATCAAGAAGTAACATGTAACTCGTGCAGTCAAATTATGTTTTTGCTTCCTGATTACAAAATCTTTGATAATCATATGAGTCACTTGAGTCATGTTTTACCATTGATGTAGTCCTGCTCCTCAGGAGTCATGACAGAGAGTAGATGCCCGCCGCACATCCGACAGTGCTGCTCAGCTGCCTCCCAGCTCTGCCGCTTGCTAAAATGACGATAACAATATCCTTGAAATTTCTCCCAGCCTGGCTCACACATCTCCAGGTCTGAGACAGAAGAAAGGACAGAAAAATATCAAGAAATGTATTAAGTCTGTATAAGTAGAAAGGTTGGCTTATGTTTGGAAGATTGTACATCTGTATTTTATGGTGCTATACCTTTCTGGCAAAAGTCTCCTCCATAACCGGGTAGACAAAAGCATCTTAGCGATTCACCGTCGACACACGTGCCTCCATTCAAACAGGGATTCTCCAAGCAGGAGTCTGTAGATATGAGAAATGACAGTTATAACAGAGATCCAGAAATATTTTAGATGTGTGCATTATTCTTTATCTGTGAAACTGATATTTATGAAATTAAAAAAAACTGCATACTTTATTCATTGTATTAAATTGTCAGAGTCCATGTATACAAACATTAATTTCCCAGCTGTTTTCTATATTAATGGGGATAATATTCCATATGTGTCTTATTTTATTGACAATTATAAAACTTATTATTTGTAAGTATTTTGTATTACTTGTTATTTATTGCTTAAAAACTCAAAATACACTTAAAAAAAAGGAAGAGATTATAAAGATAAAACTGCTTAATTGACTACTAAGCTGTCTGATTTTCAAATGTAAAACCCCTTCAAAGACACACCAGCAGAGGGAGCTGTTGCCTCAAACATGGTTTCTCCAAATTCGTTTCCAGTTTTTACTCTGTTAGTCAAATTTTAATATTGCAAGTCATTTAATGTCGTTTTAAAAATGAGTTTCTTTTTAAAAATAAAAAATAAAATCTAACGTTTTTAATTCCCTAAAGTGATCCTGCACATTAAGAAAGAACATCCTTCATTCCAGACTTACACATGAAATACAATATTTGAACTATAACTACAACAAAATCAACTCAAGGGATTTTACGTTACACATTATGAGTCCGTGATGACTTGACCTGGCTGTTCTTTACACTAAAATAACTAAATTATGTAAATAACAAATCTAATCTAAACTAATAACTGATCCATCCGTTGAGTTGCATCAGCCTGAAGTCTTAAACCAGCAGTATAGGACTGGGCTACTTGATGAAAATCTAATATCGATATATTTTGGGGGGCTCTATCACAATACACGATATATATCGCAATATGTTTTGAGCCGCAGCGCCCCTGGTACCAGGAGCAAGCGGGAAGCTACAGTTTAACCCTCTGTGCAGTATAAAATAAAACTCCACATTTGGCATTTTCCTAATCACACCTTACTCTTCCCAAAACACTGATAAGCATCAGCTGCTGTTTCTATTAGCACTTCTTTCTGGAGTACAGATACCTGAAAAGCTTCCTTGTCCTGCAGCTGAAACTTTGGCAGCAGGCAGGGAGGCAGCCATGGCAGTCTGCTCGTTCCCTTCAAAATACACAGGGTATATGGTGGGAGCAATGATAGTCATATCACT